TAAATAAATGAAATGACTGTATTCTGAGATGGAAGAACATTTAGTCTTTGGACTTAAACCAACCTGTGCAGGTCCATATATTTGTTCAGATGTTTGTGTTACTTTGAGTAGGTTACTTCTCTGAGCTTCAGTGTCCTCATATGTAAAAAAGGCATAATGATAGTTCTACCTTATAGAGTTGTAAGGATGAAATAATGCCATATGTGTGAAGCAGTTAGCAAATTGCCTAGTTCATAAGTATTTGGTACATTTTAGCAGTTAAAACTAATATTTCATATTTTCCGTGGTTGCCTGAGGAGTAAACATAACACATGTAAATCCTGGAGCACAGTATTTGATACATACCTTTTGTTTAATAAATGGTATTCCCTTTCCCCTTACTAATGATTTAATTCCGGTGCCTCTAATGTTCCTTACCCTACTAGAATATGATGATGTATTTTGTGGGATATATTTCATCCTAGAGAGGAAAGAGATGTAGTTTTTATTTATTTTTTTATTTTTTGTAGTTTTTATTTTTGAGCTTCTATTATGTGCAAGAAATATGAAATGTTAGTTACACTGCTCCCCAAATTTAGAATCTGTCAATGGAGACAGCCAGTGATCTCAGGTAGACTATGACAATGCTGTAATTTGATCCAAACCAGGGTTTCTCATCCTTGGCATTGTTGAAATTTTGGGCTGTATAATTCTTTGTTTTGGATGGTTGTGTGCCATAAGATGTTTAGCAGCATCCTTGGCCTGTACCAAATGCCAATGATAACCATACTCATTCCATTTGTGACAGTCATGTGTGTCTTCAGACATTGTTAAACTTCAGACATTGTTAAACCTGATAGGGTAGGGTGGAATTGCCTAGTTGAGACCCTTTGGTTTAAATAAAGAGCTTTGGCAGTATACCAACTGGCAAGGTCAGCTTCATTTGCAAAGGCTTGCATAGGAGCCTTTGATCTCATGAAAGGTTAAGTATTTACCTGGGCTTTGATGATACTAGGCTTTTGCATAGTGAGAGAAGATTATCTGTATGGATGGAACAGTATGCACAAAGGCATGGAGGAAGCAGCAAAGAACCCAGAACGCGAAGCAATGATGAATAGTCCACTGCAGTATAAGGTTTTTAGGTGTGGTAATAGGAAGATAAGTAGAGATACATTTATGAGGAGTCTTGAGTATTATCCCATGGAGCTTGTTTTTTTTAATTTCTGTAGATAATGGGGAACCAGCAAAGGGTTTGAGTAGGGCATTTATATGCTTCAGTTCCATCATAAAAAAAACTCTGAAGGTCCTTCCCATCTCTGAGTTTTGTGACCTTGTTGGCTATGTTCTGATGCTTTTTAGGAAAATAATTTTGGTATAAGTAGGAGAAAGAAATGTAGATGAAGGAGTCTTGAATGAGAAGTGTTAAGAAGTTGAACTAGACAATGTAAGTGGAAATGGAAAAGAGGGGACAGATTTCAAGAAATGTTTTGGAGTGAAAAACCAATGTAATTGTAATTGGATGACAGGTTGTGGTAATATTAGTATGGCGGAAGGGATGGCCAGTGATGCTAAGGGTCCAGGAAGGAGAACTAGGCGGGTAAGGAACTCAGTTGCTGAGAGAAGACACAGGAGAAAGGGCAGAGTTGATGCTAAGCAAACAATAAAGTCCTTAGAGGTTTGAGTGAAAGCATCTATCTGGTCTCCTAGCTCTAAAGTCTTAAAACAAGTGAGTTCATTTTTGGGTATGTTGAATGTGAGATAGCTGAAGAATGTTTATATAAGAATTTCCATGGAACTGTTGGAAATATGATTTTGGCAATCAGCAGAGATCTCCATGGTAGGGTTGAAGATTTTGGGAACTACCTTGGTCGTGAGACATTTTAGTCTCTACTTGTTAGTACATATTCAATAGGTAAATAAAGGTATAGTTCTGATTTTAAGAAATAGGTGACAAGTGGCACTGGGGTGTAAATTCTTAAATAACTTTTTGTGCAATTTAGAAAGTAACTGCTATAGAAAGTATACTTGCAAGCAAGAAATTATATGTATACATATGACTCTTATAGATGGATCTTTTGCTTAATGAAAAAGGAAAGAAGTAGTGAGACATATAAAGCATTTAAAAAAATTTAAATAATCCCTAAATGCTTAATGTATTTTTTGTACCATTCGCAAAGTTGTGCTACCATCACCTTTGAATTCCAGGACATTTTCATTACTTCAAGAAGAAACCCCATATTCCTTAACAGTTAATTCCTATTCTCCACTCTTCCCCACCCTTGACAACCACAAATCTACTTTCTGTCTCCCAGAGATCTACCTGTTTTGAGTTTTTCATATAAATGAAATCATACAGTATATCCATTTGTATCTCCCTGTTACTTAGAAAGGTGTTTCTAAGTTTCATCTATGTTGTAGCATGTATCAGTACTTGATTGCTTTTTATGGGTGAATAACATTCCATCGGGTGACCATGCCGTATTTCATTTATCCGTTCACCATTTGATGTATACATTTGAATCACTTCCACATTTTGGCTATTATGAATAATACTGCTGTGAACTTTGACATACACATTTTTGTGTAGACATAAATTTTCCCATCTCTTGGATGTATACCTAGAAGTAGAGTTAATGGGTTTAATAGCATTTTCATAAATTAAAAAGCAAAAATTTCCATTTTACTATAATACACATAACAATTACTCATTAAGCGTACTAGAATGGTTGCCTGTGGCAGGGACAAGGTATAGATGTGGATATGAGAATAAATGGGAATAAATAAATAAAAGAAAGACTTTGCTATGACAGTGTGGTGTGAGCTGAGGAGTATGATTTATTTGCCTTCTACACTAGAGATTCAACAAAAAGGAAAGAAAAAAAAAGTACTTTTTCATTGGAGGTAAAATAAAATTGAACTTTCGCAATGCTCAAATCTGTCACAAGAAATATTAGGAATTCTTAGATAAGGTTTAGAAAAAGTTATAAAATGGATCTCATGATAATCTCCCAAATTTCTTTTTTATTAAAAGATTTTTTTCCCCTAATTATGAAAATAGCACATTCCAGGGCCAGGGATGTAGCTCAGTGGCACCCCACCTGCCTGGGTTTATTTTAGCACAAGGTTCTGAATTCAGTTCCTGGTATTGAGAAAGAAAATAGCACATTCCTATTGTGGAGAGTTGGAAACTACAGAGAAAATGATGTCAACTATAATAATTCTACTCTTATAACCAAAGATCGTGTTTGAGCCTGTAATTTGGTATTTAGTCTTTCAACCTGGCCTTTAATTTGTACATTTTGGTGCAGTCTTGTCATTTTCTGTCTTTGTCTAAAGCAGTGGTATGAGCATGAAAGGATGAAAGTAAGACTTTTTTTTTTGTACCGGGGATCGAACTCGGGACCTTGTGCTTGCAAGGCAGGCGCTGGAACCACTGAGCTAAATCGCCAGCCCCAAGACATTTTTGTTTTTAAGGCAGGGTCTCACTATGTAGTTCATGCTGGCCTTGTCCTCACTATGTAGCCCAGGCTTGCCTCAAACTCATGGCAGTCCTCTTGCCTCAGCCTTCCCAAGTGCTGGGATTACAGGCGTGCACCACCACACCCAGCCTGTAGACATTTGAAAGAGTAATTATAGAAAATGAGGCCTGGTATATTGGCAATGTCATAGCTTTCTAGAAATCAACTCTAACTAAAATTCTCTTTTGTCTTTAACGTCAGGAAGAAGCTGCCAAGACCCTACTGGCTGAATTCAACCTGGGCTGTGATGTACAACACACTGAACACGTGTACAGGGTTTATGTCACAACCTTTCTGGGTTTTGGAGGCAATTTTGCCCGGCAGCGCTATGAAGATCTTGTGCTGAATGAAACATTTAACAAAAACAGGTACATTTGACAAAAGATCAAGTTTATAAAATAGAATGTCATTAGGCTTCACATATTAGGAGGAATATTCGTGTTCTCCTAAGGTAGATAAGTCCTTGCTTCCTCCTTTCTGGCCACCCCTGTCAATGGGACAGCATTTCTCTTAGGGAGAGATGACTTGGGTGAGGGTACTTTCTGCTGTCTGTTATTAGGACTCATGGAAAGGTACAGTGGCTTATTGTGATTCGTCCCTGTGTCCCACAGACAGGCATGGCATCACAGTGATAGTGAGGCTAATTAAATGTTTATAACATGCAGTAGAATGTAGCTCCTAATTTCTGTTACATGCTTATGCTCAAAACATTTTTATTGACTTACAGTGGAGTAATTCATCTTATGTGAGATTAGCTTCTGCAGTATGCATAAAAAATAAAACATTTGTAGTTAAAGTCAACTTTTAAAATAAATTTATCCAGTCCAAAATAGCCAGTTTTACCTCCAGCATTGGACAAATCACTGATTTTTCACTAGAATACCTGATGAATTAATTGGACCATAATCACAATTGTGAGATGGTTGTTTTTGTTTATTTGAAATTACTTATCATTATGCATATTGAAGGAAAGCATAATGGACAACAGTTATTTTCCACTACAAAACTATTTACATTTATTTATGTAGCTAGAAACACTAGCTTGAAGAGGTATTAGTGTATCCCATTTGTAATAATTTCTCCATAGGAATCAATTATCTTTAGAGCATGTTGGAGAAAACAATTACCATATAAGTCTTTTTAATTGTCACATAAGTCTAATCACTAAGAGTTCAATGAGAGAGAATCCTGGTGTCCTGGATGATTGTGATAGCACTAACATCAAGCAGTGCGTTTTCTGTAAAGGACTCCTGAATCCTTACAAATACTGCTGGGTTGTGACAATCATAGTGCTCTTCCCTTTTCCATTTTCTTTCTTTGCTGTACTGCTTCTGCTTTTCTGTGTAGTGCTCTCTGATGCCTCAGAATTTCTTATGAGGCTGCATCTTCTTTCCATGCATTGGTATTTTCTGTCCAGTGCCTAAGTCACTTGCTTCAGGGGTTTGAGGGTTAAAGGCTATCTCTTTTGTAGCTGCCAAATTACTAGAGACCTATGGCTCATGGGGTACCATAACTTAATGGTTTTATCTTAATAAGAATTTTCTGAGTTTTCCTTATGGTTGGTGACATGTCCTTGAAATAGTCAGATTCTAGTTGTTCAAAAGCATTCTGTTGCATTGCCACCTTCCCATTGCCTCCTTCAGTTTGTCTTCACACTTGCAGGTGCATTTTCATCATAGGAAGCCCACTCTTCCACATCTGTTTGTTTAGGACCTGATGAATAATTAAATTCAACTGGAAAATTTATTTATCTCCATGTAATTTCCATCCTGCATATTAATCTCTGGGAATGAGAACACAGTTGCTAGACAAATAGACTAATGAACTAGAACTGTATGATGACCATGGCAGGAATCAAGTGCCGTTCCTCTGTCTACTTAGAGGCTCCCACCTTTGCAGGTCACTCCCTGGAGCTGGTGCTCCACCTGTTCTGCCTCAGTACTGGTCATTCAAAGCCAGGCATCACCACTGTGCTAATGCTATGGTCCCCTCCTCTATCCCTTCCCATTTTGTCTTCTTGCACTTGTATTTTTTTTTTGTTTGTTTGTTTTGTTTTTTTGGTACCGGGGATCAAACTCGGGTCCTTGTGCATGCGCAGCAGGCAGCTAAACCACTGAGCTAAGTCCCCAGCCCATTTGCACTTGTATTTTTTTGAGACAGGGTCTCATTGTGTAGTTCAGATTGGCCTTGAACTCACTATGTAGCCCAGGCTGCCCTTGAACGCATGATCCTCCTACATTAGCCTCCTTAGTGCTGGGATTACAGGCATGTGCCACCATGCCCAGCCTGCAGTTTATATATATATATATATATATTTTTTTTTTGTACTGGGGATGGAACTCGGGACCTTGCAGGCAGTGGAACCACTGAGCTAAATCCCCGGCCCTGCAGTTGTATTTTTAAACATAAGCATGACACTCAGCATGGTGATAACCTTATATTTTTAAGAGACATGTAGGAATGAAGTCCAGATGGAGAATAGCCAATTCACATCTCCAGTTTCACTATACACTGGGAAATGGACATATTGACAATAGGGTTGAATAAAACTGATCACTGGCCTCTCTTTCTTCCTCTCTCCCTTCCCCCTTCTCCCACTCCCCCTCTCTTTTGTAAGTTTAATTAATACATATGATGCCCCTGCCTTGTAATACTGCATTCTACCCATGTTTCTAGGGATGTTATGAAAACAACAAGGTATCTGTGAAACACATTGTATGTTTTCATGAGATTGAATTCATTAGTCTCATGTTTTGTTTTTGTCATTGTGACAGATTGCTGGGCCAGAAGACAGGCTTGAGTCCTGACAATCCGTTTCTGGACCCCTGCCTGCCTGTGGGACTGACAGATGTGATGGAGAGAAACAGCCAGGTCCTGCATATCCGAGGAAAGGGAGACTGGGCAACTTGTGGGCTGATGCTGAGCCCTCTGCTTGCTCGCTCCAACACCAGCCAGGCTTCACTGAATGGCATTTACCAATCACCAATTGACTATAACAACAGCGAGTTCTATGGCTTCTCAGAGTTCTTTTACTGTACAGAAGATGTGTTGCGCATAGGTGGCCGTTACCATGGGCCAACATTTGCCAAGGCTGCTCAGGTAAATCATTAATGACAAAGATGATTCAACTGGCAGCAACCATTTATTGGATGCCGAACTTTGTGCTAGGCATTATGCAGAGGGCTTTGCATGCATGAGCTCACTTGATTCTTTGCAGGGGCCATATGAGCCCTCATTTTGCAGAGGAGAAAGTGGATTCAGAAAAGTTAAGGAATCTAGACGTGGTGGTGCACATCTGTAATCCCAGCACTTGGGAGGCTGAGGCAGGAAGATTGCCATGAGTTTGAGGCCAGCCTGGGCTACATAGCAAGTTCAAGGCCAGCCTGAACTATATAGTAAGACCCTGTCTCAAACAAGCAAACAAAAAAAGTTCAGGAACCTGCTATGCTAAACTGCCTTCTAATTAAGTTTAGATTTTCATGGTTGTCATATTACCCAGGTGTAAAGTTGATGTGGTAGCTAATGGTTTTTACTCCTGACTTTCCAAGTCTCGTTTAATGTTTGTGGCTTAAAAGTATCGTCTCATTTATTTTTTCTTTTGCTGGATATCTCAGTTACCATGTGCTTTTGGTGATGATGTCATCCTGGTGGACAAATCCATTTTCTTTCTCTTGGTTTGAGGTAGTAAGTGACCAGAGTGGTGTGGAGTCACTTAGAATATTAGATGTTGTGAAAAACAATGATAGTAAAAGTATTATTTAAATTTAAAACAGGAATAAAAATTCACTTTGTACATATATAGAACTTAAGCATTTTATGGGCTTAAATAATTAGTTACCTAGACAAGTAAAAGTATAGCCGTCCTCCTGTAGCTTCTGCTTTAAAGTCTGTATTAGTCAACTTTGTGTCACTACAACAAAACATCTGAGCTAGTCAGTTTATTTTATTTTGGATGACAGGTCATAGTCCATGATCAGTTGTCCCCTTTGCTTTGGGGCTATGGTGAGGTAGCACATCTTGTGGGAATGAGTGTTGGAGCAAAACCATTTACATCATGAGCCAGAGAGCAAAGAGTGAGGAGGGAGCTGGGATTCCACAGGCCCCTTCAAGGGTGTGCCCATACTTCCCACTAGACCTCCCTGCCAAAAGCTCCACTACCTGCTGATATCGCCACTTTGGGGACTGTCTTGGTCATTTTTCTCATTGCTGGGATAAAATACCCAATACCTGCAATTTAAAGAGAGGAGAAGTTTATTTTGGCTTACAGTTTTAGTCCATAGTAGACTGGCTCCAAGGCAAGAAGGCATAGTGAAAGGTCCTGGGGAGAGGAGAGCTGCTCATGGTGTGGCAACCAGAAAGCAGAAAGTAAAGGGAGGAGCTGGAGAGGAGATAAACCCTTTCAGGGCAGCCCTCCAGTAACCTCCCTCTTCTGACCAGACCCCACCTCCTAACAACAAGTTACCTATAAGCCGCCATAATCCAGTCACCTTCCCAAAACCCCACCCAGGAGTGCATGAGGTTTTGGGGGACATCTAGATATAAACCGTGACAATGAACAACCCTTTATTACATAGGCCTTTGGCAGACATTTAAAATCCAAACTATAGTAGTCATCTCTTACTTTTTTTTTTTTGGTACTGGGGATAGAACTCGGGACCTTGTGCTTGCGAGGCAGGTGGAGGAACCACTGAGCAAATCCCCGGCCCCATCTCTTACTTTTTGTATAACTCTTGACCTGTATCTGCCATTAGATAAATATATGGAAAGAATCTGCCCTCTTGTATTTTTATTCTTTTCTTTTCTTTTTTTTTTTTTGGTACCGGGGATTGAACTTGGGACCTTGTGCTTGCAAGGCAGGCGCCAGAACCACTGAGCTAAATCCTTGGCCCATATTCTTTCCTTTTTGTTTTCTCATAATTCTCTAGGGTTTTCTTCGTTAAAAAAAAACTTTAGCAGAATGTTACAATGTTTGCTATTCTATCCCTAAAAGGCAGTCCCCAAGAAATATTGTGGAACATCTAGTTTATATTGCTCTTTCCTCTCCAGCTTCCAAGAATACCTTCTTATTCCCTTTCCTTTCCAGAGCCCAGGGGTTCTTGGATGTCCAGGATCTACCTGAGTTTTTATTTTATCTCAAAATTCATTTAAATTCTATTCCCTTGAATACCAAAGGGCTCAAGTTATTCCATAACCAAGTTGTTAGTAACTTAAGTTACCTTCTTAAGGAAAAAGAGATGATTTTGTTTTCTTGATTATTTATTACTCTGACTCAAATGTCATCTTCCCACCTCCCCTGGCCACCCTATCCAAAATTACAGTCCTCCCGTATTACCTATTGGCCTTTCTTGCTTTATTTTTCTGCTGAGCATTTATGTCATCTTACATACTTACATGTGTATTCGTATATGTGTGTGTGTATTTGTTTATTTTATTTTTTATTCGGTTCTTTTATTGGTACATTTTAGGTATACAATACGTTTACATTTATCATTGGGTGCTTGTACCTGTACATGATGTATCTTTTTTTTTTTCCCCATTAACTTTATTGGTACATTTTAGGTATACAATACAGTTACATTCATCATTGGGATCTTGTACCATTACATGAGTCTCTTGGTTCTTA